TAAAGGCAAGGAGCATACTCTGGCATGCTCCCTTGCCCTCTTGCCCCCTTTCTCTCTTGGCAACCGCTTGCCAGTCTCGTTTGATCTGCCCTTGCTCAGGGGCATGATGTAAGGAGCTCCGTTCAGGCCTATTCGTGGTCCACAAGTCCTTGATCTCTTGGCCACTTGGTCTCTGGGGACTCCCTAGTACCACATGTGTGGGTGGGCCTTTCCATGTGGTTGTTCATGCCCACCTGGGAACCCCAGCGCTACTTCCACGTGGCCTGGCACACTTTCCAGAGCTAGTGTGTATCCTTTTGAGACTATAAAACCTGGAACTTTTCCTGCCTTCCATAAAATCTCACTTGGATTACAAAACGTGCTTTGGCGTGAATTCTTTCAGCATGTGAAACAAAGAACTGAGGTATTATCCCTCCAGAACCCTAACAATATTTCCACCTTATGAGTTATTAAAGCTCATTGAGCTGCACATTATCCCTCCAGAACCCTAACAATATTTCCACCTTATGAGTTATTAAAGCTCATTGAGCTGCACATTTATAATATTTCAATGAACCTGCTGATAGAGAGAAAGAGTGGGGTTAAAAAAATGGAAAGAATAAGATTGGCTATTCTAAGTACACACTAAGCATTCTAAGATTATTGCTTCAGAGGGAAGCAGAAGATGAGGCAGTCGATGCAAGAGGAGTTGGGTTGGGTTTTGTTTTTTTTTTCATTTTTAAATGTTAGAATAAATAACAAAATGTGAATGCTGATGATAAGTGATCTAGAAAACAGGGAATGATCTCTGGTTAGATGTGAAGAGAGAATTGCTGAAACAGAAGCATTTCCTTCAAGCAGGCAAAAGTGGATGCATTACAGTGCACCAGCTGAATGACTGGCCTAGATAAAAACGAGGGGCAAGATAAAATCGGATTTGTTTATGGCGATTGTAGAATCAGAGGCAAGGTTATTTATACAGAGTGAGTTTGGGGCAGGATACATTGAAGATTTGACAGTAGTATATGGTATAGGTAATCTTATGGCACAGAAATGAAGTAGTTGGTTTCTAAATGAAAAGTTAGTAGTTCAAGTCTACCTAGTGCGTCTGCTGCATTTGTTACTCTGGTCAACCCTGCCTAACAAAAGAAGAAACAAATCTGTCTTGGAAGAAGTATAACCAGCATGCTCCTTAGAGGCAAGGACCCAGAGCCTTTGTCTTATATCCTGTGGACAGGCTATCAGGAGAGACCAATCTCTGGAGCAGACCTGTGACCAGAGGGACTGACACAGGGGCTGCAATGATGGGCTCAGACTAGAACGACGATGTGGATGACACAGGCTGAGACGTGTTCTGTTGAGCAAAGTGTCACTGTAAGTTGGAACCGTAAAACATCGTACAAAAGGACTGTTTTTTTTATTTTAAATTTCTGGTCAACTTTAAAGTCCACTTGAAATTCATAGTTTAAATTTCAAAATGAAATTTGTTTGCATAGCTGGTTATTTTTGTGTGTGTGATTTTGTTTTACTAGGAGCCCTGGTGGCATAGTGAGTGTGGTGGGCTGCTAACCTCAAAGTCAGCAATTTGAAAGCATCAGCCACTCCATGGGAGAGATCTGAGGCTTTTTACTCCCATGAAGAGTTAGTCTCAGAAACCCACAGTGAGAGAGTGAGGCAGTGAGTGAATGAGACAGTGAGTCAGGCAGTGAGTGAGAGTGAGGCAGTGAGTGAAAGTGAGATAGTGAGTGAGACAATGAGAGAGTGAGGCAGTGAGCGAGTGAGGCAGTGAGTGAGTGAGACAGTGAGTGAGTCAGAGATAGTGAGAGAGTGAGACAATGAGAGTGAGTCAGTGAGTGAGTGAGACAGTGAGAGAGTGAGACAGTGAGTGAG